AAAGGGATAATCGTAGCTGTTACTCGATCACAGAGCTGTAGTGCAGCTCTTGGCAAGTCCTAAAACAGCCTTTAACAGTTATATGCAAGAGACAGAAAAAAAGTATGTATTGGCACTGCATTGTTGCTCTTGACAATTACTACAGTAAATCATTTCCTCACAAGCATCTGGGCCCCTTTTTCTGTGTAACTGTGGTTCTCTTTACTCAAGTCATGGTCTTATGCCCTATGGCAAGTAATTATAACAGAAAAATTAATTTTCGAAAACAGACTTATTTCAGCCATTCTAAAACAGATGAACTCCTCCCCCCCCCCAAATTTGTACAATTAAGTGAAATAAAATCCTACATCAGGAGCCAGTTGCAACTGAAGATTTTTTTTTCTTTAAAGTAAAAACAAGTGAACACCACTTGTCACCAGTGTTCTACTGATCTGAAATTAAATGTTAATTGTGCAATAAATTATCTTCAGCTGAAAAGCCGCCCATGTTCCCTTTGCATCTTTAGGACAGTCTTGCAAATAAACTTTCTGCGAGGCTTGGTTTGCCAGTTTTAGAAATGTAACTGTACCTCCTTTCACATCCTGCTTCTTTTCCTTTTCTGAGTGGTTCTATCTATAGCTAGTTGAACTGGGCAGGATTCTCCACCATATTTTTTTTTCCACATCTTGTCACAGCCTAAAGCGTACAGTCAAGAGGGAGAGTCATTCTGCGTTGACTAGGGCATGCCAAATACTTCCAGTAGGAGTACTGAGAACTAAGAGATTTGCATAAGCAAATTCTAAATAGTAGCAATGTTTACTGCTAATTGCAAAGAAGAATCTTACAGTAGCCCTGTAGCTACCAGAACAAGTGACACTGAAGACTATTTTCTTGAAAAGTTTATACATTAAGGCAGTTCTCCTTGTTTCTGACAATTTCCTGAGATATAGTTCCCGTTGCCATGAAAATGAAATGTTTTCTTACATATTGTCTACATTAAAATATAGGGAAATAGCAATATGATTCTAAAAAAGATGCCTCAGTATTTCAAGATGTTTACGGTATTACTACACTTGAAAACTAACACTTCTAAGACACAGGGTGCATCGTTCCTGCTCCAGTAGCTTACATCTGAAACAGGGTTGTGTCTTTGGATGCAAACTTTAGAATGCCATAGAAACCTGTGAGGTGAGACACCATCCTTCTCTTTTGCTTTAACCAGCAAAAGGTTAAAGCACCTTAATGAGGATTCAGGAACGCTTGCTAGTCATCTTTTTTTAGCAAGAGCCTCTAAATTAGAAATTCTTGAGCTGGAGATACAGGTTTAGGATTTTCTTTTTATAGTCGTTCCTTGTCTTCTGTACTTGCTTCTATCCCTGACAGCCTTCCGCTTTTGCTATCTCTGTATGGTTAAGCCAGTGTAAGAATACAAGGTGTCAGAACTCGATTCAATCACTTGTTAAACTGTGAAAACCTTATAAACCTCCTCCCATGCAACTTAACCAATACATGTCATACCTGAAGATGATTCAGCAGCTGGTCCAAGGCTCAAATTCAAGCAGATGCTTTTTCTCTTGGTCACGGGTTTGTTCTCATCAAAGAAAACTGACTCAGTTCCAGCGGTCTTCCCCTTTTACAGTGAAGGTACTGCTGCTAGTGCAGAGATGAAGTGATTTGCGTAAGTTAGTTGAACGCAATGAGAGGATCTAATTCTCTCTGCCTTCCCCTTCTGCTACTACTTCTCCTAACGCTTCAGAATTATCTTTATATCTGATTGTAAAGTAATTCATGCAAGGGGCAGATGAACCTTAACTTCGTATTTGAATCCTTCTAATGTGTGACTCTCTTTAAAGTGAAATCCCTCGAGGTTAGTACTCAGCCCACTCCCTGGCTGAGTATGATAACAAATATATAATTTATTTTTCCTGCAAGATCAACCCACCAAAGTCTGGATTCACAGACTCTTGCTTTTCCATTCCTCTTGAGTACTATGAGTGGCCTTTCATACACGAGGCACAAGGCTCCTGCAGCAGTTTTTTCTCTGCATCAGTTAATGTACGAATTCCATTTTTGTTTCCCCGCAGCGTTTGTAATTGTCAGCTGTTGCTGAATTTTGTCCACATGGTGGAGCATGGCGACTGCCTTGTCTCCTCCATTAGAGCCTGTTCTCAGGTTGGTCTCTTCCCCTGAAGAGTTGCTTCATCTAGCCTCCTCTCGTCTTATTCTGTCTGTGCCAAGTCTTAAAGAGACTAAGGCTAGTCTAAACTCAAGAAACTGTTTCCTTTCAACACCACTATTTCTGCTCTATGAGAAATTGCCGTTTTAACAGCTACAAACTCCTTTGGGACTTCTGTTTATCAGTCTATATAATATTGAGTAACACACAGAATTGAAATAGAACCTATAAGTAACCAGGGCTTAAGCTTTTAATGATCCAGTGCCGTTTGAAAAGAGGCACGTAATCCTTTAAAGGTTGCCAAGCTGTTGAAGAGAGGCTGCTTCTTTGAACTTAGCTGGCTGAGCAGCACTGCCTTCGGGGTTGGCTGGTACAAGAGACGAGGAGTGGCAGCAAGGCACAAGCATCACTTTGGCAGTTTGGGTCCTTGGTGTCACTGCTCTGTGTAGCTTCCAGCCCTTCAGCCTCCCTTCCGCAGGCAGCGCCACCCTGCAGCAGGGCTGCTGTGAGGAAGGGATAGGAGCGAGGAGATTCTCCCTTGGCGTGGTTCCCTGAGGGTTTAAGAGGAGTTTGTTTTAGGTTTGGCTGTGGGCTAGTACCTGTGGCGCAGATGCAGCACAGCCCAAATTCTGTTTCCGAAGCTGCAGTGCCCAGCCCCGCAGGACTGGCCCTGGCTGCAGCCGGGGCTTCTCTGCTCTCAGGGAGGTGGGACAGGCACAGGGTCACCGGTGCACGCAGCTTCTGCATGCAAAGCCTGCCTTCAGGCGCTCTGCAAGGGACCCCTGCCCAGACTGCGCACCGCAAAGGATGTGGGCATCCTGATCCAAGCCCTCTCCCCTCCGCACCTTTCTGCTGGTGCCCGTCACAGAGCCCAGTGCAGCATCCTAGTTGCCTTCAGCCACTCTCGGTTCCTGCGGTCGCAGGAAATCACCTGCTTTCCATCACTTCTGACGCGAGCCGTGCTGCCCTGTGCTTGTCCCCACAGCCCCTGCACGGAGCAAAGGCTCAAGGGCAACAGTTTAGATTAGTCAGAGCAGAAGCCAGGCAAGCAGGCAGATAGGGGAATAACAGTCCCCTATTGGTACATGCCAGAATGATTTGTCTGCAGCGTTTTTCCTGTCCTTACTCACGTGACTGGGTATATGGTTGAGGGAAGACTGTTTCTGGTCAAGTTTTGCCACCACCTAGCACAACTGTTTTGCACACCAGTAAATCAAAATGGCAGACTCCTGAGTCCAGAATAAAACAGACAGTCATTGTTCCTTTGTTTCACATTTAAGGAAAAACATGATTCATTAAAACAGTTTTAATGAAAAAATAAAGTTCTGAATTAAACTATAATCATACATGGCGGAAAGTGATGAACTTAAAAGTATGGAGATGTTATTTTTTCTCTCTCTCTGCTGATATTGTAATGTGCTGGACTTGTCAGACACCAACTATTGGGATAAATCTGAAAAGGTAACAGAACAAGAGTCAGTCACATTAATTAGTACAAACCTCTGTGAAAAAGAGGCAGTTCACTTGGCAGTTTGTCATTTCTCCCATAAAAGCTTCAGGAACACATTCCACAGTGGTCCAGTTGAATTGCAGACACGCTGTAAACAAAGAGACCAATACTCAGAGCAGGTCCAACCCTTACATAGCTCGTGACCAGGATCTCCCAAAGCCTTTCTGTTTGCAGAGTGAAATTGCAGCATTTGAGAACTTTGGTTATTTTTCTGGCTGCAAAGAACAGTCAGGCAGCCGTATGGGGCAAATCTTTGGCAAACTCCTAGGTGGTTCCACTTCGCTTCTAGAAGGCAGCATACCACAGTCATGGTCTTGTTTTACAGAAGCTGGAGAGCTGGTTTTCAGAACTGAGTCAGTTGTTGCAGCTTGGTGGGATGGGATTTTTATAAAGGACCAAGTTTAAAGAACAATACGGTTGTGCAAGTCCATCATACTGATCCAGGCTGACAGATCTTTTACGTCCCAGCGTCCCACACAGTAGAGCCCCAGGGCACTGCAGTGCTGTACTGTCTGCCTCGTGCTTTGGCAGCCTAGTGTTACGTGTCTAAAGGGGAGTACCTGACTCTCTGTACTTGGTCATCACCAGGGCATACTTCCTGGTAGGTCAGTATTCAGGTAAGGCAATGGTCTAACGTGGTGTATCTGCAGTAGTAATGTGGACACACTTCTACCAGTTCAGCTCGTCTTGCTCCAGCTGTAATACCAACCATTGACTTCCCCTAACCTCGCGGTCTCACAGGACAGAACCTGCATTGTTCATTAGGCATAAATTAACAGAGCTCTCTCAAAGACATAAATCTAATTTGTGCAATAAATACAATTCGCTCTGTTTGGTCATTGAGGAACAACATCTACATCTCGGTGGCCTCACGTACAAGCCTTGAATCCCTTTCGTGTGTCTAAACAGATTTCCCCTGGGCTAATGCTCCAGGAGGGCCAGTCAGGGGACTGCAGCATTGGCAGGTGCCTCTGTATTCTTTTGTCCTCCCCAAACTGGATGGATCTTCATTGCACTTCAACTTGCTAGCTGCATAGCCCACGTTTGCTTTTATCTGCATAATTTGCAACCAAGAGGCTAAAGATCTTGGTTTTTTGATTGCAAATGCAGTCTCAAAAATGAACAGCAACAACAAAGGTAAACACAGCTGTAGTACTCAGGTGGAGGTGGTCCAATCCCAAACTAGACCTGGTAGGTTCTCAGTTTACTACAGCCCCTTTTACAGTCCAAGTTTGCATTCTGGGCTGAGAAAAGGG